CCCCCCCCCCCCGCCAACCCCATCGGATGGGGCCGAGGCGCACTTCGCCCGGCCCACATCCTCCCCGCGTAGCGAGAACCTCCACTATTTCCTCTGGGAGGATCGACTCGTCAAAACCGACGAGTCGGACCTCCCCCATCCTTACGGGCCGTGTGATCACGGCCCCCGGGAGCGACACCCTGAGCTTGGCGGCCAGGGCGTCCGCCTCCCCCTCTTTCCCGGGCCCGGCCAGCCCAAACAGGAGGCCACCATTCGCGGCCCTCCTAACGAAGGCGGGCCGGACCCCACCCGCGCCCGGGGCAACATCGGCCTTAGCCTTGCGGAGGGCCTCCGCATAAGAGAGGCCCCCCGTCTCAAGGCGGACCGCCACCGCCGCCGTCATCGGCACCACCCGACGCCCCGGAGCGCGCGCCCCCCCGTCGCGCTAACATTTAAAACGTCATGTTTACGATAATCAGTACCATTGATTTGTACCCATTCTATCAAATCATAATTACCAATATCGTTAGAAACAACTGAAAGTATCTTTTTTATATTTTTAAAAATGTTCAATAGTTTGACTTTAGTTATGCTCTTTCCGTAACTTACCCGTTTTGGAAATCCTTCATTGCGCACAAATCTAAAGTACAATTGTAATTGATGCTAAAGAGATAAAGTATAACTTGCATTTAGTCGACTTGAAATTACTTTGCTGTTTTCCTTTAGTAGTTTATGTTTGGCTTCATATCGAATAGAAGACATATGATGCAGAGGACCAAATATTTTCATTATTCGAGAATAATGTAGTAAATGATGATGTTTAACTTTTACCGACGTCTTAAATAATTTTAAATATAGATTTATATATTCAGATGCTAAAGAATTAAATCTATCGACAATCTTAAATAGCGGGCAAAGAAACAATATGGAGAATTTTAGACAAAAATAAATACCGTTTCCACGTGCAATTATTGCCTAGAATTAAATCGCCGATTATAAAATTCAAATTTTCAATTAAAAATTTCATTTCTGAAGCAAATAATAACTTTAATATAATGACTTTTTTTTAACACTCTCTTGTGATAAATTTAGCGAAATATTCTTGCTTGAAAATACGTTATTAAAATATAATATCCTTAACTATTTAAAATTTCCAACGTAAAAAAGTTTTTTTCATATATGAAATTATATAAAATTTTCGCTATATCATATCTACATATACCTTCGAGAATATCGTGCATTGGATCCATTGTAGCATTGTTAATCACGTGAAAATTTGATTGAAATAGAATTAAACACGCATTCTTCTTGAATACCAAAAGATTGGTTACGTAAATGTATAGAGTAATTTTTTTTTGTTCTTATTTTATTGACATTCTTGACTGATTGATTTTTGAAGATAGACATATTTTCATAACAAATTCTACAACAATAATTTGCGTTAAAGCTTCGCGTGTATCCCAAAATTGTATTTAAACCTAGACTGTCTCCAACGATAAAAACCAAAACAAAATATATTTTTTGTTGTTGGCCATTTATAGAAATAATTAACTCATTTTCTTATAAGTCTACAATTTCATTTATAACGTGTTGAAAAATTTTTTTATTACCAAGATGTTTATGGTCTTGATAATTGTATATTTGAATTAAAAATATATTTTGTATCATACTTGAAAATTCATGAGGTAATCCAAGAATAGAACAATAAACAACTCCAATTTTATGAATACATTTGCGTGATCCTAATGGATTATTTATTTCTACATCATCA